GAAGTGTCAGTAAATGTAAAGCTCACACTTCCAAACATTTACAAATCCTACCAGCCAACATTTTGCAATGTCATCATAACTCTAAGGCTGCCGAAATAAATGCATTGATTGATACACCTTCACAACCTTGGCATTGTGATTTTTTTTTTCTTTTAAAATCCACTAACCAAGATTGAAATGCGCGGACGTAAAGTCCGCTGGCTCCAACAAGTAGGGTACTCTGGAGTGGAAGGGGACAGGCAGCGAAGGGGTTAAACCACGCGTCGTGCATTGATGAGATGGTAGAGAGCGGCTTTGACGGACGCAGAATTTTCTACACAACTTGGTAGCCCACTTACCCGATGTATGGGTGACTCATGTTGGAGGCTGGCCTCTGGTCTTACGCTGAAGCATGCAAAGAGGCACCAGAAAGCTGCAGTGTGCAAAAAGAACACAACATCAAAAAATAAATGCGAGAAGAGCAGCTTTGTCCCCGGTGTGATCCCACTGCGAGGATCCCCCAGTGTACCAGTCCTGTCTGCCCGTCCTGTCCCTGGACTGAGGGCACACTGGTTGCTAGGGTGAGACAGATAATGATGCTTTAGCACAAGGTAGGCAGGAAATTGCGGAGCCAATGGCGGTGAAATCCAGCCTCTCGCTTCAATCAGCAGTCACTCCCCCAGCACACAGGCTGCTACTGCTGGTGTCACTGATATATGCATGCTGTTCCCTAGGAGCTGTTTAGTCACTCACAACAATGCAATGTTCACAGGCTGCACTCCGGCTGGCTCTGCTATTACCTGCAGGGCTGGGGATGAGGGACTCGGGTGTCAGGAGACGGGGGTCAGAGCTGGCTGGACTGGGGGATACTCATATCAGCAACTTGATCTGCTTCTCCAGCTTTTACGTAAATCACATGATCCTGATTGACAGCTCCGCCAGTCACCGCTGACTATGTCGTATTATATACGGACTAAAGTACCTGGGTGCCTGACCATCACACTCACTATACGACCAAAAGTATGTACAAACCTGACCATCACACCTATACTAGAGGGCCAAAAGTATGTAAAAACCTGACCATCACACCTATACTATATGGCCAAAAGTATGTACAAACCTGACCATCACACCTATACTATATGGCCAAAAGTATGTACAAACCTGACCATCACACCTATACTATAGGGCCAAAAGTATGTAAAAACCTGACCATCACACCTATACTAGAGGGCCAAAAGTATGTACAAACCTGACCATCACACCTATACTATATGTAGACAAAAGTATGTACAAACCTGAACATCACACCTACACTATAGGCCAAAAGTATGTACAAACCTGACCATCACACCTACACTATACGGCCAAAAGTATGTACAAACCTGACCATCACACCTCACACTATACGGCCAAAAGTATGTACAAACCTGACCATCACACCTACACTATACGGCCAAAAGTATGTACAAACCTGACCATCACACCTACACTATACGACCAAAAGTATGTACAAACCTGACCACACCTAATTATACGACCAAAAGTATGTACAAACCTGACCATCACACCTATACTATACGGCCAAAAGTATGCACAAACCTGACCATCTCACCTATACTATATGGCTAAAGAATGCAAAGATCTCACCATCACACACCTACACTATATGGCCAAAACTATGCAAAGATCTGACCATCACACCTATACTATAAGGCCAAAAGTATGTAAAGACCTGACCATCACACCTATCACTATATGGCCTATGTACAAAGACCTGACCATCACACCTGCATATGGGCCAAAAGTATGTACAAAACCTGACCATCACACCTACACTATACGGCCAAAAGTATGTACAAACCTGACCATCACACCTACACTATACGGCCAAAAGTATGTACAAACCTGACCATCACACCTACACTATACGGCCAAAAGTATGTACAAACCTGACCATCACACCTACACTATACGGCCAAAAGTATGTACAAACCTGACCATCACACCTACACTATACGGCCAAAAGTATGTACAAACCTGACCATCACACCTACACTATACAGTCAAAAGTATGTACAAACCTGACCATCACACCTATACTAGACGGCCAAAAGTATGTACAAACCTGAACATCACACTCATACTATGTAGACAAAAGTATGTACAAACCTGACCATCACGCCTATATTAGACGGCCAAAAGTATGTGCAAACCTGACCATCACACCTACACTATACTGCCAAAAGTATGTACACAAACCTGACCATCACACATATACTAGACGGCCAAAAGTATGTACAAACCTGACCATCACACCTACACTATACGGCCAAAAGTATGTACAAACCTGACCATCACACCTACACTATACGGCCAAAAGTATGTACAAACCTGACCATCGCACCTATACTAGAAGGCCAAAAGTATGTACAAACCTGACCATCACACCTACACTATACTAGCCAAAAGTATGTACAAACCTGACCATCACACCTATACTAGACGGCCAAAAGTATGTACAAACCTGACCATCACACCTATACTAGACGGTACAAAAGTATGTATGTACAAACCTGACCATCACACCTACAGTATACGGCCAAAAGTATGTACGAACCTAACCATCACACCTATACTAGAAGGCCAAAAGTATGTACAAACCTGACCATCACACCTATACTCTACGGCCAAAAGTATGTACAAACCTGACCATCACACCTACACTATATGGCCAGAGGTATGTACAAACCTGATCATCACACCTATACGCTACAGATAAAAGTATGTACAAACCTGACCATCACACCTATACTATAGGGCCAAAAGTATGTACAAACCTGACCATCACACCTACACTATAAGGCCAAATGTATGTAAATACCTCACCATCACACCTATACTATATGGCCAAAAGTATGTAAAGACCTGACCATCGCACCTACAATATACGGCCAAAAGTATGTAAATACCTGATGATCACACCAATACTATATGGCCAAAAGTATGTACAAACCTGACCATCACACCTACAATATACAGCCAAAAGTATGTACAAACCTGACCATCACACCTACAATATACAGCCAAAAGTATGTACAAACCTGACCATCGCACCTAAACTATAAGGCCAAAAGTATGCAAACACCTGACCATCACACCTATACTATACAGATAAAATATGCAAATACCTGACCATCACTCCTATACTATACGGCCAAAAGTATGTAAAGACCTGACCATCACGCCGACACTATGCAGCCAAAAGTATGCAAAGACCTGACCATCACAACTACGCTAAATGGGCAAAAGTATGTAAAGTCCTGACCATTACACCAACATTAAATGGCCAAAAGTATATGAAAATAGTATCTCAACAGCAAAAAATACATACCAAGGAAAGAGCAAGGAAATCCCATAGTGAAGTACCATTTAAAAGCATTTATTAATAAACCAAGTAGGTACTCACAAAACAGATATTATGACAAGCATCTTGCACAGCTCCGCCATATCTCCGGGTTGGTGTGATGATGTCACCGCTAAACTCTGCCCATTACATTGCTAAAAGTATTTGAAGACTGGATCATCACACCTACACTATATGGCCAAAAGTATCTAACGACTTGACCACCACATCTACATTGATTAACCAAAAAAAAATGTAAAGATCTCTGATCATCACACTACATGAGTATGACCAAACGTATGTGAAGACCTGACCATCTCATCTACACTATATCGCCAAAATTAAATAAATCCTGACCATTACACCAACATTATATGGCTGAAAACATTACGATCACATCTATACAAGATGGTGGCCACCTAATCATCACAACTATGTTATATTGCTATAAGTATTTGAAGACCTACACTATATAGCCAAAAGTATGTAAAGACTTGACCACCACATCTACATTATATGAAAAAAAAAATTAAAGATATGATCATCACACTACACTATATGACTAAAAGTATGTGAAGACCTGACCATTACACTTACATGATACAGCCAAAATCTAGTAGATGGTGGGGGACAGGGAGTACAGAGAGGGGCTGTAGATGGTGGGGACAGGAAGTACAGAGAGGGGCTGTAGATGGAGGGGACAAGTAGTACAGGTAGGAGAAACTATATGGTGGCAACAGGGAGTACAAAGGGGTGAAATATGATGGTGGGGACAGGGAGTACAAAGGAGGGTTACTGAATGGAGGAACAGGGAGTACAAAGGAGGGTAGCTAATGGTGGGAATAGGAAGTACAGATGAGGAAAAGATGGGGATAGCGGCAGGGCAACTGGATGTAACATGAAATATTTTCCGAAAAGTCGAATTAGCTTTTAAGCCAAAACTTTTTTCCTGACTTTAGATGGAATTGGAAAGGACTAGAACTTGTGTCAGGTTTTAACTCTATCTGGGGTTCTGTTAGAGGGATTTCCCTAACTTCCTGTCTTGTTGACAACAGTTTATTGGATGGACAGAAAGTTGGGAAAATCTGTAGCAGCAACACAGACCAGAAGAACCTCTGACAGGGGTTGTAGTATTCCTTTACTCTACTAAAGAAAAGCAGGGGGTGGTGACATAAGGTAGATGATCTGCTCTGAGTCTACTCTCTCCTCCAAATCCCGGAGCACAGAACACCAAAGTAGAAGAGGGTGGGAAGTGGATCCCCACTTCATTTTTTAAAAAATGAAACCCGATTGGCCATTATGACCAGTTTTTCAGATTTTGGAAATCAATGGTGGCTGGTGTCTGCCTCCTCGGCTCAGCTCCTTGCAGTGTGATCTCCGCTGTGTCCACAGTATTGACACTCCTCATACCGAGAACCCATATAATAGGCCACTTTAAAGCACAATTTCATTTATTTCTACCTTTTCAGTCGAACTAAAGATCCCAAAAACGTTCAAGTATTCAAACAAGATTACCTTTAATACATACTGTAAGTGCTCATTGTTCTTATTTTAATACCAGTAAACCAGTTTACAAATGTATTGGTCTTCTTTTGTCTGAAGGCGAAAGCTCCACTTAGATGACAAACACCATCTTTCCGGTGGCTCCGCTGCTCTGCATGATGTCTTCATGAGCTTGGGGGGCTTTCTCCAGGGGGTATTCAGGCCTGATGAGTGGCTTCACCCAGCCGGCCTCCATTCCTCCACAGAGTGCTGCAGCAGCCTCCTTCCAGTCTTCCTAAATAAAAAAACAGTAAAAAAAAGTTTTTGAGCCACCAATTTTAAAGCCTCCAAGGAAATATCACTTTTCGTTAACAAAATATTGATAATTACTACATGATCTCACTTTGAAGGAATTTCCTCTTAAAGCGGAACAATACTCATCTCCACTCCAGTGATGCGACATCCAGTAATGACATCTTCTGCCTGAATTTTCCTGGGTTCAGCAGATTCCACGATCTTGATTGGCCATCTTGGGATGACTTCATTCCTGCGCATGTGCACAGGAGTTCATTCACCCGCCACATGCTGGGATAGTACATGGATGTGCGCATGCTCAGTGTGGTGTATGCACTCGTCTACTCCCCTGTAGAATTTGGGGCCTTATAGACAACTATTACAAAAGACTGCACGCTGTCATTGATGCTAAAGGGGGCCATACACAGTGGCAGGGTATCACAGTAGCTAAAAAGGTTAGCACTTCCACCTGGCAGTACTAGGGTCATTGGTTCAAATCCCAACCACAGCACCAGCACAGCCTGGAGTTTGCATGTTCTCCCTGTGCCTGTGTGGGTATTCTCCAGGTACTCTGGTTTACTTCCACACTCCAAAGACATGCTGGTAGGCCAATTGGCTCCTGTCTAAGTTGACCTTATGTATATGTATGAATGTGAGTTAGGGACCTCAGATTGTACACCCCTTGAGGGTTAGGGACTGATGTGAATGTACAATATATATGTAAAGCACTGCATGGATTGATGGTGCTTTAAAAGTACCCATAATTAAGAAGTTGCAGACTTTTGAACAGGGATCCTATTACTTGTTGCCATATTTTGTTTTGTTTTATGATTGTACCATTCTGTTATGACCTACAGTTGAATATGATACCCATAAAAAATAAAATAAATGGATTTTGGGGACAGCTGTAACTTACCATACTTAGCTGTTCCAAGACCATTGTAAGCTTCATTGTGTGGCACACTTAAGGCCGGAATCTCACCGATTACGCTGCAGAAATGTGCTCTTTCCCACTCCACGCGGAAACACGTTTACATCCGCAGATACACGCAAGTTCTATTTATTCATAATAGCACTTCCACACATCTGCAGTACCATGTAGATTGGTGGCACACATTTCTGAGATGTGTGGAAGTACCATGTGGTTTGCTGGCACGCGTTTGTGAGATGTGTGGAAGTACAATGCAGTTTGGTGGCACGCGTTTGTGAGATGTGTGGAAGTACCATGCGGTTTGGTGGCACGTGTTTCTGAGATGTGTGGAAGTACCATGTGGTTTGGTGGCACGTGTTTGTGAGATGTGTGGAAGTACAATGCGGTGTGGTGGCACGTGTTTGTGAGATGTGTGGAAGTACGATGCGGTTTGGTGGCACGCGTTTGTGAGATGTGTGGAAGAACCATGGGGTTTGGTGACACGCGTTTGTGAGATGTGTGGAAGTACCATGTGGGTGGTGGCACGCGTTTGTGAGATGTGTGGAAGTACCATGTGGTGTGGTGGCATGCGTTTGTGAGATGTGTGGAAGTACCATGTGGTGTGGTGGCATGCGTTTGTGAGATGTGTGGAAGTACCATGCTGTTTGGTGGCACGCGATTGTGAGATGTGTGGAAGTACCGTGCAGTTTGGTGGCACGCGTTTGTGAGATGTGTGGAAGTACAATGCAGTTTGGTGGCACGCGTTTGTGAGATGTGTGGAAGTACCATGCAGTTTGGTGGCACGCGTTTGTGAGATGTGTGGAAGTACAATGCAGTTTGGTGGCACGCGTTTGTGAGATGTGTGGAAGTACCATGCAGTTTGGTGGCACGCGTTTGTGAGATGTGTGGAAGTACGATGCGGTTTGGTGGCACGCGTTTGTGAGATGTGTGGAAGAACCATGGGGTTTGGTGGCACGCGTTTGTGAGATGTGTGGAAGTACCATGCAGTTTGGTGGCACGCGTTTGTGAGATGTGTGGAAGTACCATGCAGGTGTGGTGGCATGCGTTTGTGAGATGTGTGGAAGTACAATGTGGTGTGGTGGCATGCGTTTGTGAGATGTGTGGAAGTACCATGCTGTTTGGTGGCACGCGATTGTGAGATGTGTGGAAGTACCGTGCAGTTTGGTGGCACGCGTTTGTGAGATGTGTGGAAGTACAATGCAGTTTGGTGGCACGCGTTTGTGAGATGTGTGGAAGTACCATGCAGTTTGGTGGCACGCGTTTGTGAGATGTGTGGAAGTACAATGCAGTTTGGTGGCACGCGTTTGTGAGATGTGTGGAAGTACCATGCAGTTTGGTGTGCACGCGTTTGTGAGATGTGTGGAAGTACCATGCAGTTTGGTGGCACGCGTTGTGGATGTGTGGAAGTACCATGCGGTTTGGTGGCACGCGTTTGTGAGATTGTGGAAGTACAATGCAGTTTGGTGGCACGCGTTTGTGAGATGTGTGGAAGTACCATGCAGTTTGGTGGCACGCGTTTGTGAGATGTGTGGAAGTACAATGCAGTTTGGTGGCACGCGTTTGTGAGATGTGTGGAAGTACCATGCAGTTTTGGTGGCACGCGTTTGTGAGATGTGTGGAAGTACAATGCAGTTTGGTGGCACGCGTTTGTGAGATGTGTGGAAGTACGATGCGGTTTGGTGGCACGCATTTGTGAGATGTGTGGAAGTACCATGCGGTTTGGTGGCACGCGTTTGTGAGATGTGTGGAAGTACAATGCAGTTTGGTGGCACGCATTTGTGAGATGTGTGGAAGTACCATGCGGTTTGGTGGCACGCGTTTGTGAGATTTGTGGAAGTACAATGCAGTTTGGTGGCACGCATTTGTGAGATGTGTGGAAGTACCATGCGGTTTGGTGGCACATGTTTGTGAGATGTGTGGAAGTACCATGCGGTTTGGTGGCACGCGTTTGTGAGGTGTGTGGAACTTCCATGCGGTTTGCTTTGGTGCGGTACAACTTTAACAATGCGCCTGCCATACTTACCGTGCCTTCAGCAGCCCATTGAAATGAACAGGCTGCCAGGAACATGCAAAAAGCGTGTGTTCCCACATGCCTATATAGTGTGAACCGCCCATTAAAGCTGCCTATTCTTCCAGCTAAGGCTCTGCTTCCACAACACATCCACTTTGCCATCTCCATTCATCCCTATTGAAAAGTCGTACACAGCTGCTTTGATTATATTGGAATGAATGAAGTTTGCGGAGTGCCATGCTTCCCTATCGATATAATTAGAGTCATGAAAATCTCGTGTCCATCTTAATCAGTTACCTTAGTGGAGCTGAAGAGTCCCACTCCAATGATGCTGGACTCCTTGGCCATGGTGTCTCTGGGGTTTATTTCAGTAGATCCTCTGCAGCCAATAATCTGGTGTGAAAGAACAGAGTACAGCAGAAGTCACATTTACTTTTACATGTATACTGTCATTTGTTTTATCACTCCATTCTATTACCCTGATAGTAATGATGATAACATTTGCATCCGGGCAGCACAGTGGCTAAATGGTTAGCACTTCTGCCAGGCAGTACTAGGACGTTGGTTCAAATCTCAACCATGGCACCTCCTGCCTGGAGCTTGCATGTTCTCCTCGTGCCCGTGTGGGTTTCTTATCACAACCCAAAGACATGCTGGTAGGTTAATTGGATACTGTCCAAATTGTCCCTAGTATGTGTATGTATGACTGTGAGTTAGGAACCTTAGATTGTACGCCCCTTGAGGGCTAGGGACCAATGTCTATAGGGTACTACAGTTGTGTTCAAAATAATAGCAGTGTGTTGTAAAAAGTGAATAAAGCTCAAAATCCTTCTAATAGCTTGTATTTCCATACACACAAATGCATTGGGAACACTACACATTCTATTCCAAATCAAAACATGAAGAAAAATATATCAAATTTGTGTTGTTCCTCTAAAAAAATTGAAGAAAAGTGAATATTAGACTGTTCAAAAAAATAGCAGCATTTGTATTCTTCTTTATAAACTCAAACATTCACTATATAAACTGAAAAATGTTTGAAGATTTTGCTTTCCTTTGAATCACTTAACCTCCCTGGCGGTATGATTATTTCAGATTTTTGGTGCTGAAAGCGGTACCATTTTCTTGCATGGAAATATGTCGTTTTTTATTGTAGGCTGTAATATATAGGAATAACTCACTGAAATCTGTCCGAACAAGAGTCTAGTAAACATCCCGGGTATGATAAAATTTGAAACACAAAATCATAAATTATAATTTAATAAATAATCATAAAAAATAATACTATAATAATATCACATTTAATTCAATAATATAACCAAACCAAAAACACTGAAATTTGAAATATAGCGCCAAGTTCGCACATCGCTGAGCAAAGTCGCAAAATCGTTTTCAGTGTCTGATGATGAATTTCCCCCACGAATCATTATCACTCAATTATGCAAGTGGTTCTAATTTACTATCGCTGTTCTCTAGCTGGTCTAAACCCGCTTTTGACCTAAAGGGACGCTTTTTGGACGCCATGGACTTTTCTAAGTTTCCAGGCAGAAAGAACATTCAAAATGCAGGCAGGGCACAGGACAAAGCACTCGGGACAAAATGTATGTGAAATGGGTTGAAACAGCAATGTTTTACTATGTAAAATTGTTTTGAAAAAAAGGACTTTTTTTAAATTTTCAAATTTCCCGCCGCCGGTGGCGCCCGTACGTCCCGACGTCACAGGGACCGGAACACAGGAGCCGGATGCCGGCATCGGCCAGAGGAGATGGCCGGGGACGCTGCAGGGGACACATCGCGGGAGCGAAGGACAAGGTAAGTGCTGCAGGGAATCCCTATGCAGCACCGCATGGTAAGCCCGAGTGCAGCTCGGGGTTACCGCTTTTGGTACAGAAACTTTACCCCGAGCTACACTCGGGAATACCGTTAGGGAGGTTAATGAATATTTGGTTGTATAAGCACTGTTTCTGAGAACTGCTGTACATCTGTGTTGCATGGAGTCACCCAACTTCTGGCACCTGTGAATAGGTATTCCAGCCCAGGATGATTGGACCACATTCCA